TGCGGTTTAAGGTGTGCATCGCAAAGGGGTTTGTCTATTAGGTCTTATATTATTTACCACAAATTTGTTCAATAAGTATTTATTTATTTGAAAATATGCAACAAAATATTCTTAAACCAAAATAAATCCTATTTCTCTGCCTCCTCCTTTATTTACCTAAAATATTTTTGATTTATGAAAGTTTCCTAACAAAATCAACTTTAACAAATTGCTAATAAAATAAATATTTTATTGGCAGCATAATTAATTACAGTGCGATATCCGAGTGACCCATACACAACATTCAACTCGTTTCTGTTTACAGGAGAATGGAGAAAAGATTTTGTTTGATTAATGGCTATTTTGTGGATTTGTTTGTTTATGCAATTGAGTGCGCGAGTCAGGGTAGAAGATCGTGGCAAAATTGTGCAAAATAAAACAAAGAAATGGGAGGAAACAGAGCAGAGCGACTAACCAAAATAGAACCCCTTGAGGATGGACACATGTACACATCGAAGATGGAGGATGGAGGATGGCGAATGGGGGCCTGGTCAGCAAAAGCCGCAGCAATGCGCTGTCGATCATTAAGCAGCCAAATTGCGAGCTGTTGACAACAATTTTAATTGTGTCGATTTCTTAGCCGCCGACAAAAAAAAAACAAAAGCGACCTTCGATATTGCCATAGTTTTTGACAAGCAACGAAAGTAGAGTATGCGAAATGAATGGGAATGGACTAGAGATAGAGAATGTTTTCAAGTGCAAACCATTTACCCCCAATCGACATGGACACAACACATGGAACAAGACGAGACCACTGACGGCGGCTTTGTTGCATTAATTTTATCCAGAATTGTGCAGCTGTAACCGATGCCAATTGCATCTATATACATTTGTATCTGTATCTGGCGAGACATTCGCCACTTGTGCAATTGAACAAAGTCCAGGAAACTGCTGTGGAAGAACTACAGTTCGTGTCGTATTCTCATCTCTCTGACGTCTCGGAATTTTCAAATAGATATTCCAGATATGCACATTCCCAAAAGAAGCGATAAACAATGCAATTTACCTAATGGAAATCGGTAGGATTTATGGACTAACAGAATGTTTATAAGGTTGGAATATCACAGGAATGTGGAATCCAATAAAAGCCGTGATATGGAATGTGCTACACGGGAATGCAGCATTTTTAGGAGATTGATATGGGTATTAAAATACATTAATGTCCACAATGAGGAATATGAGGAAAATTGTTTGATTTATTAACCTTGTTTGAAAGACTTCTGGTGATAAAAATATCACATAGGACATACTTATTTCCTTGTTTTAATATTCGTAATTCTGCGAATCATTTTTATGGGAACACTTCTCTTTTGATGCATTCTTCATTATTAAACAAACCATGTTTTGAAGTTTAATGTGCATAATTAGTTCCACGAATTGATTGACTGGCATTTAAATAAATATCATCCTAACACGTCATTTATAGCTTTCCTTGGAAAGTGATATATTTATTTCCGAAATACAAAGGTTTTACTCTGTTCCTGCACCTTTCCCAGGTGTTTCTCAATGTCTGGATGGATTGATGATTCACGAAAGACTTTACCCTACTTATGTTTCCCTCTGGCGAATATGTTCCTCTTGCGTTTGCGCATATTCAACCCTCGGAAAGGAGTACTTGAGTACCTGAAAGGGTTTATCTGGGACTCTTGGAATACCTGTAAAATCCTCGTACACCTGACACAAGGCGGCCTGTCGGAGCTTCGCTTGCTTGACCTCCTCGTCGGCGGCATATGTGAAATAGGAGGCGGATTGTCTCTGAACCGTGACCACTTTGCTGCTCTTTTTGCCCAAATGGTTTCCAAAGTTGAACTGCACCAGCGGTAAGTGCAACATTTTGCACAGGGGTCCTCGAGGATCGGGCTCTAAAACATAACTAAATGCAAGACGAGCTCAGGGAAGTCCTGAAACTGAAATCGCATTTTGCATAGCCACAGGTGGTGGGCTCGGCTCGAAGAAGAAGTGTATGTATGTAAGTGAGTTCAGGGGAAAAGGTAAGCAAAATGGTAAGCAAAAATTGTAAGAGCGTGAGAGAAGTGCTGAGACACACAGGTGGCGGCCACCATTTTTCGCCATTCGGGAATTTCCTTCCTTTTTGGCCCGAGCAAAATCCGCTGTTGTTATTTATTTTCTGCTTTTCCTCGCTGGCTGCCTGCCAGAGAAACGATGAAAAACTAATTGAGTGGCATCTGAGAAATGAAAAGCCATCGGGAAAATAGAGGGCTGTGTGTGGGTTTCTGGGCAGTCAGCCACGCAGCGAAAAATATCCCATGACAAATCATGGTTAACCCATAATGACAATAGTTGATATTTGAAAATATGGCCTAGACCTAATATAATTTTTAAGTGACAATGAAATTCAAAATAAAAATTATTTTTTTGTAACAAAAAAACGTATTTTAATCAAAAGACGTTTTGAAAAGTGCAACAACAGTTAGAAAAACATATTAAATATCTATTATAATTATACTGCTACGAAAAATGGCAATCAACAGATTTCTCGCTGTGTAGCGGATTTTGTCAAACAGCACAGACAGTCATCAAAGAAAAATCTTGTAATAAAATTACGTATCCCGCGGAAGCCTTGACGTAGACGAAGAGCAGATTCCGAAGGTCTGGGGCCCATGTAAAATGCCATTAGCGTTGAGGGACGGAAAACACGGACTACAGGCTATATAGTCATAGTTCTATATAGGCATGTGCGGCCTGTCAACATGTGTAAATGGAATACGAGGTAAGCGGGCGGCGCGGTAGGTAAATCACCCGGAAAGTAAGGATCAAGGATCCTGTGCAACAAGAGGAGGAAGAAGAAGCGAAGAGCCTGCCGAGCAGGATAAGATCTTCTTACCTGGCAAGTACCGGGCAAGTAACAGATCAGAGCAGACAGAAAAGTTCACAAAGTTATCATGCGGAAACGATTCCAAAGGTATCTACATACATGTGTACATTTAAAGGCTAAATAACAACATCAAAGGCAACGCAACCAAATCATAAACTTTTAATTAATATATGCTTTATTTGCGCCTCGATTTCGAACACAAAATACATTAAATGATAACTTTATTTGTTTATGCCGCGCATGGGAAAAATTCTTTCAATACAACATATTTACACGTATTTTTTAAGGCAATAACCTTTGTATATGATATGAAATTGTATGGTATTTGCAGTTACATGTTCTCGTTGCGGAAATTGTAGGCTTGGAATGGAAAATATAACAAATTCAATTGCGTAGAAACACATTTTTTATTATTTTAATAAAAATGTAATACGAATTTCAAATCAGAGAATTTGCAAAGTAAGTTATCTTAACTATTTGTTGCGCATTAGTGGTCCAAGATATATATTTTAATTTATATTGGTTATTCCAACCTTTAATTAGGTAATTCCATATAACAAACAAATAAATATCCCGAATTTCTTCTCTACTTTCTTTTTAGCTACAACTGTCTGGCTAAAACGGCTGATGTCGCATCACTGACAACAGGAACTGATCGCTTAAACTGTTGTTGCCTGTCCTTTACTTTTACTCTCACAACAGTTAGGGCGCCGCAGTTGTTGTTGTTGCGGTGGCTCTCGGTACAGTGCCGACGAAGAGAGGGAGAGAGAGAGGGGAAATGAAGATGAAGAGAGGGAGGCATTTCGCATTTATGCGATAAATATTTCCTACACCGAAATAAATTCTGAAAATAAGATTAAAATATCAGCGACGCGATGCCGTTGCTTTTTTAGTCTCACAACTACACATAAGAATGTACTTATATTCGATTTATTTTTTTTGTTTGCATTTTGCTGCCAACGACATTTTTTATGAGGATCTTTTGGCCCCGAGTGTGGTTTTACCCCGCCCCAACCCCTTTGCGACAGCACATCTAGGTTTGTTTTTTGGACGACATTGAAAAATTAAAGATTCGCGCAGCATTTGGACCTGCCACGCCCCGCGTCAGCCGCCATCCGCCCTCTTTCGGTACTCACCGCACTTCGATTGCTCTTCAATGGTCTCCATTTCCATGGATCTTCGGCTATTTCGTTTTTAAGAACACAAAAACACACCAACACACTTGAAACACAATAAAACGAACGCACAAGGAGACAAATAATTCGTTTGTACTCGATTCGTTTACTTTCATTAACTGGACGCTGTTTTCATGCATTTAGCGTGCTTCATTTCCATGTTTGTTTGCTTCTCTCCTTTTTGTTACAAATTATTTAATTAAAAAGCGGCGGGCATAGGCTCACGCACACACACACACATATACACACGGACGCGCATAGGCAGCGTTGCCGGTTCTTCGTCCTTTTGTTTGCGATTCCGCGTACCTGCTTAAGCAATTTAACCAACAAAATGATCAACAATTTAAACGAATTGCGCTAAACGGCTGCGCGTCGGAATTACAAATCAAAACTCAACGGCCAGACGCGTCCGTTTCGATTTTTTTTTTGCTGTGGCGTGCCGCGCAGTGTGACCGTCGCTGGGGCGCCAAGAAATGCGAGCGAGTGTGGTGTGCAAAATACCAGAATCATTCGGCGCGAAGTTGTGGTCACATTCGAATGGGGATTTCAAAAGCATTGAGGGCATTCCTTGTACTCTTAAATTGCTGAATTAAGCTGCTTGATCTAATATATAGTTCGAAACTGCAACATATTAACAACCAATAAGAAGTTATTAACTTGTGGTTAACTTGTCTTTGGTCTGTTAATAAATAAAATTGGTAATGTAAAAAAACGACTCGTTTTTACACAAAATCCTCAGTCTTCGAAGTTAATTCGGTGTCCCCATGCAGTGTAAGCGTCAAATAATATTTTGCATACCAATTAAAAAAGTTGTCCCTAATGCTATGTATGCATTTATTGACTGTACGCAATAAGCTGTTGGAAGTAACTTGTTTTTACATAAAACCACTGTTTTTGTACTTAATTTGTTTAAGAACTCCCGCCTGACAGCAGCGAGTTGATCGATAAATACAGATGCCTAAGTATCGATAACAGCGGTTGGCGTTGCCACTTCGCCCGCACTTGTTGCTGTATCGTCACACACACGCACACCCACGCACAGCCATTACGTCAATATGGCAAACAATCTGTCAAACGCGCAATTACAACAAAAACAGTTCGTCCGCATTGACAGTTGGTCAATAGGTCCATCGAGAATTCGCTGAAGTGGTGAGGATAGCGCAGAATCGCAGCTGGCGAGGATTGGAAGAGGGCACTCGAAAGATCCGCGCAAAATGCTGCCACAAACGCCGCCCCACGGATTGAAGGTGATGTCGGGAGCGGAGGAGAACCGACACTACCTGCGCGCCTTCATCCAGACGTACAGGGAGCTGCCCGTGCTGTGGGACACATCGCTGCGGGATTACACCAATCGGGAGAAGCGAGCGGAGGCCTATCTGCGTCTGGTGCCCATATACCATTATCTCAAGCGGGACGCCACCGTCGAGGATGTGAAAAAGAAGATCAACACCCTGCGCACGAATTATCGCAAGGAACTGAAGGTGGTGGAGAGTGCTCTGCGATCGGGCAGCCTTCACAGTCCACGTTGCTGGACCTTTCAGGAGCTGGACTTTCTGCGCAACTCGGAGAAGTTTCTGGCCGTCAATCCCGCCTTCAAGAACGAACCAAATTTCGCCTTCGGCGAGAGCAGCAATTGCCCGAGTGCGTTCCTGGAGGGCCAGGGAGCGGCCCTCCATTATCCGGCACCACGGACGGGTGGTCAGACGCCCAACATTTCCGAGATGTTTCACAAATCATTTGGACCACCGCCACCCCCGCCGCCAGCTGCCAACCATGTGGATTATGGGAGCAGCAAGCGAGCCAGACAAACGCCGCCATGTACGGGAGCAGGAGCAGGGTCTAGTGGTGGTGGCGGAGCAACAGTCAGCTCCCACAACACGGACGAGCTACTCAACATAGCCTGCGAGTATTTGGCGGGCACTTATCCGGAGGAGGAGTCTATCGCCCGCACCTGGACGCACAAATTGAAGCGCCTGCCCCGGGAGCAGCGTCTCCTGGCCGAGCGCTTCATCAACGAGATACTCTTCGAGGCGGAGTCCAACAATCTGCATCGCGGTTCCGTGCAAATCAACAACAGCTTCGAGCCCTATGTTCGCTACGAAGAACCGCCAAATGGTCACGATGAGCAGGACAAATCACAGAGCCCCAGTGTGCATACCTCCAGCGAATCCAAGCCCAATGTGGCGGGAGCGGGCGGAAGCGGAGCTGGCAGCACAGCCACTGCAAGCATCAGGGAGTTCTAAGTTTAATTTAGTTACTAAGTGTTAAGTTTTTATTGGCCGAGGGGTAATTGGCAAATCAAATAGAGTTAGCCCAACTATGAAAATCAAATAAACCTGTAAATTATATTGAGATGACACTGAAATGGATCACTCCAGGTGATGGTAGTCGACTAGATTGCGGGTAACCCAGACGTAAGGCGATGCGCCAGCCAGGAAGAGACAGGCGCCGATCACAGGGCGATGCAGGACCCAGGCCACTGCCGCAATGGTTAGGGCCATTGAAAATGCGATGAGCAGGTTGCCCGTAACCGGGAACTGAGAATCTGGTGCCAAGGCCACCAATAGCGGCACCTGCATAACTGCAGTTGGAGGACAAACAACCATTTAGTAAAAGGTTTCTACTTCCTAGAGAATCAAGCACTCACACAGAAGACGCAGAATTTTGGTGTTGCAGGTGACGCCGAAGAAGATGAGCAGCCAGCCGATGAAGCGCCACCACCAGGTGTGCAAGACCTGGGCACGAGCCTCCAAGCGGAACACCTCCTGGACACTGAGTCCACCGGGATAGACGAGCAGCACCGGAACTCCCCGAGAGGTTATGTAGGGCTCCAGTTTGTTGCCCGACAATTTGCCCACCACGCTGAACACCTCGCCCTCCATTCCGGCAAAGCTGAAGAGCAGGCGCATGTCACCCACCTCCGGATTGAACACATCATTGGTATGATAATATATGCCCAGATGCAGTTTTACGCCACTATCCTCTGGCCGAATGTCCGAGGTCAGCTCCTGGTAGTTATTAAATTTCTCCTTCACCTCCGCACCCAGTTCATAGCGTCCAATGTAGACGGCATCTGCCACCTGGACGTGGCTTTCGATGGGAAAGTGACTGGGATTCGTGTGCCCATAGCGGTTGTAGAAGTTCCGCGAGTCCACAATCTTGTCCCGCCATTCCCGCGTGTAGTAGTAGGTGCGGGAGTCCGACTGTGTCGTTCCCACGCTCTCGCCATAGTTGTGCTCGCTGCAGAGGAGGATCAGGTTTTGGAGTTATATCTATTCGGATTGTTCAGCCTACTAGACTGGAACCAAAACCACTTACACCGTCTCCTCGACCCACTGGTACATTTGGACGCGTCGCTGGAGCTTCACCGCCAGCAGCTGGATGTTGTAGTCGGGTTCAGTGAGCGGTTCGCCCACGAGAATCGGGCCAGATAGATGGACAATACGGCCCTCGAGGCCCACCTCCTGCTCCTCTTCCGTGAAGCGAACGGAGTAGATGTCGGCGTGTGCCTCATCCAACGCCATCATGTTGTGCACGGCGCGTCCCTCGTTCCAGTAGAGCACTGTGCTCCCGGCCACGAAAAGTATCACTCCAAACAGGGCGATGGGCCAGTGGCCACGGAGCGTTTCGCCTAGAGATGCCATGGACGCGGGCGATCCAAGATGGGTGGTTTACCATCTGTGGAGCGCAGGCGACAAATAAATTCCGGCAACAGCTGATTGGGCGCAGTGTGACCGGGTGGTGGGAGAAAAGTCGCATTCCAGAATCATGCCTTGGTTTTCCAGCCTTCTACCACCAATAAACATTTATCATTTACCATTTACAGGCAACGAATATGAATTATTATCAATTCTATCATTAAAATAATAATAAAGCAACTAGCGATCTGTTCTATCATTAAAATAATGATTGAGCGTTTTGCTAATTTGCAGGCCAACCCAGTAAATACCAGAAATTTTTTCTTACTTGGGGGAGTCCCCGTATTGATAACGAGTAGTGTGGCCATGCCAAACGTTTTCTGATATTTCGCGGGCCTAATTGAATATTTGTGTTCTGGCCATGGTTACATAAACAGCGTTATCAGTACAATCAGCTATCAGGACCATAAAAGTGGACACATTAATAAGATAGGATGTACATATGTACAATTTGCTTTTCTTAGGGGCTCCCCTCTTTTGAAATCCATAAAGTCCAGTGTGCCCATGTGGTGGAAACGATCAAATTGGTATGTAAGGTTTTTTCCCCTTTTGAACAGATAAATCAAACAAAGGATCACTGCGTTATAAAAAGCTGAAAACGCAGTGATATTCACAGTGTTATTAAAAATCCAGCAGAGCCAACTTGACAGCAATTCCCGCACACAAAAATGGACGCGACTATTGCCATGAATCATTTGGTGGAATCCGACAAGGAGAAGAGGCAATTTAAGTTGAAAATTACGGAGCTTGAGCACGAAATGAAAATGGAAAAGGATCCAGCTCGCGCCAAGCTGATCGAGGAGCATATTGAGAAATTGAAGAAACTGGATGAGGAGAACCAAAAGAGGAACTTGGAAATTACCAAGGCCAATGCGATTCTACTTCGCTCGAATATGAACTTCAGAGTGGCGAGCCATATTATTAACAACTTTTAAATCAAAATTGGTTTACTTTTATCCTGGCATCTGGAATTGTATACATCCCTCTTATCAATCAATATGAACAATAAATAAAATAAATTTTTTTCCCATTACTTGGTTAAATGCTCCACATTGGCATGGGTAAACTTCAAACTTAGATAAGAGAGATCGCTGAAGTCGATTTCCTCGACTATCAGATACCCCTGGCAAGGCGAGAATATCTCTTTTAAAGACGAAAAAATATCCATTCACCATGGATTTGTATGTATTTGTAACTTGAACAATTCCTCAGTATTTGCTATTGCGAGAATTTGTTCCAAGTTATCAGTACAATACAAGCTGACTCATTTTGTGAATCTACACAAATAAGTTAAGATGTACATATGTATATAGGATACATGTATAACTTTTTTATTGGGGATCCCCAATTTAGAAATCCAGAGTGCCCAAGTGGTGAAAACACGATAACGTCGTATGTAAGATCCGGAATTTACCCACTTTGAAAATTAAATACCAAATAATTTTAAAGTTTTTTTGACAGTTAAAATTTTTTGAGAAATCGTTTTTTAAGGAAACCAAGCTAACTATTTGATACCACTTAATTTTATTTCGTAACAGTGCTAATCACGAAAATAAAGCTTTAAAAATAATGATAGGATCTGTTTTAGTTTTTAAAAAAGCCCAACTTGCGTGCCTGATTCATATAACTTTGCTATTTTATGAGTCTTTATTTACAGTAAATAACTTTCGACATTTTTTTTTAATTATTATTATTTTTTTGTTATGATTTGCGTTTACAAGTCAAGCCAAAGCTAATACGTACGCATAATTTATTAACTTTCGTTTTTCATGTCACGCCATTGCAAAACAGAAAATATCACTGAATATGCGCCATAAGAATTCTCTTTAAAAATTGCAGAGATATAATTTTTTATGTGATCGAAAAGCGTGAATTTTGGTCAGATTTGTTTTATTACTAAACATAGGCTTACAAAACAAAGAAATAACAATCAAAGTTAAGGTATGAAATTTTTCAGCTAACTTTTAAAATTATTTAACAAAATAACTAAAAATAAATTGCTCATCATGATCGCACTTCACAATAATAAAATAAAAATATAGATACATGAAATTAAGATTCTACTACATTTTTGGACAAAGAATCACGCAGAAATTCCCTTGACAAGGCGCACTTTCTTATATCTGATTTAGATATATCTATATTTATATGTAAATGTGGTGTTGTTGTGTCTATGCAAAATACATAACTTGCTGCCAGGAGAGCGCATAAAATTTACAAATTTCAATCTTATTACACTCTATTATATATATTTGTATATACTTTGAAATATTTAGCTGGCTATCACTGACAAATAAATGTGCAGGTTATCTTTTTTGGTTTAACTGAAGCCATAAGAAACAATTGGATCAGCCTCACGGCTCAAATTTAAAAATTGTTTAACTAAATTATTTTATAGAACCCATTTTGTCATCGTGGTTGTTTTTAAGGTAGGTTAGTTAGATAAATACTAAAGTTTAAGGTAATCTTTTCGCTAGCCTGCAGTTGTGTAGTTACACATCGAATTATTAGATTATACATATTTGCATTCATAACTGCTATTAATATTCATTTGCACTTTAACCAAAGAATCGGTTTAACGTTGACTAACGTGCCACACGATCAAGTAACTCTTATCGCCTCGATTTTCGATCGTTTGATTTGGTTCCAGTTGAATACTGTTTTCCATGTCGTTATCATCTGTAAAGAGTCCATTCAGTTGCATTAGTTATTCAAGTTTTTAAGCGCTGTGCACAGTTATGGCCTAAGTTAAAGATGGATTAGTGCAGAGATGTAAAACTACAGCGTATTACTAGAATTCGATAATTTACAAAGCTTATACAGGTCACAATACAGTTGGTAAGTCTTCAGTTTAAAGTTTTAGTAAGCATTTTGGTGAACTGCACAACTTATTTATAGTTTGCCTTTTGAAAATAAAAATATATTTCAATGTTAATATAAATAAAAAAGGTTACATAATATTGTTAAGAAAATTAGGCATACTTTAAGAGGATTCTAATACCTGATTTAAGAGTATTTTACTGAATTTCTACAAATGGCCAACCCTGAAGAAAAAACACGATAAATTGCTATAGTCGAGTTTCCCGACTATCAGATACCCGTTGCTCAGCTAGTGGAAGTGAAAACGAGAAATTTCGACATTTTCTGGAATATCTGTAGAAATTGGGGAAAAAATGAATGATATACGTTTCTACATCAAAAAAATTTAAAAAAATATATAAATTTCTGAATTTGAATGCAGATATGCAGATTGTTAGAGAATTGCGCCGGAAACATTTAGAGGTAGGCCTTTTACTCTACGAGTAACGGGTATAAAAATGGTGAATACAAATAATGTTTGGGACAAGGGACACGGTACACCAATAAATTAATTTCTGTGTGCATAGTTTTTGTGCGGAAAAATAATATCGTGTACGTTTACACCATAGATATAGTGCTTTAGAACCAAAATACCGGTGGGTATGCTCATTAAAACAGTATTTTAGCCTTGAAACGCACTGCAAGGGCAGTAAAACTGGTGCCGATTGGAACAATACAGAAAAACATAAATAAAATTAAAATGGTGACTTGCGTAAACCTGCTTAGTGGGCTAGTTCAGATCAGGTCACGGCTGAGAGAAATGCTGCAATCCACTCTTAGGATCCCATCCTGCTATAGATTGAACGTTCTGGTTTGGACAGAAATCGCACAATTAAATCGCATTGAAGGCAAAACAAAACAAATTAGGTAAGGACACAAACAAAATAATCAAAAAACTAAGCGTTTAACAAAATAAAGAAAACTAAAAGAGCAAAGCAAAAACATAGGATAATCAAAATGAAACGAAATCAAAGCTTACGTATCGACTTTCCAAACTATCAAGTGCGCTGCATTATCACTAGCATCAAACTTATCATGTCCTGCAGATGGGATGGAATATGGAATGGTTATAAACGGCTCACAGCTTGGCTGCCCAATCCGTTTCATCCGGCGGACGCGGTGGCCACTTACTTATGCGAAAATCGATGTAGCCCTCGCCGCCGCACATGACCAGCATATCGGGTCGCTTGTTGGTGAAGGTCAGTCCACCGTTCAGATTGGGCTGCTGCAGCATGGGCACCGATACGAAGAACTTCACCGCATCCCGGTGGCCGTGGAAGGAAAGTTGAGCGTTGGCCATGCAGCACAGCGGCATCTGCCCATGGGGATCGGCTGCCAAGGAAAATATATACAAGTAATTAGATCCATAGGCTGTAAAACAGAACGTTTTACATTACTTACATGATGACTTGGACTGCACTTCGGCCAGTGGCACTGAGATGATCACGCCGTTACTGGTGCCGATCCACAACCGATTGCAGGACACCATTAAAGCGGTGATGCGGACGAAGCTGAAGCCCAGCTTGCCGGTGCCGAGCATCTTGGACACATACGGCTCAATGTCCACGTCCTGCTTGTGCTCGAACGTGTGCGTGTTGTACAACCGCAGCGTGGAGTCCAGTCTTAAAGTTATAAGCAGTCATTTAGTAACAAGCACTCAAATGAAAGGTGAAGAAACACACCTGATCGATACCCAGACACCAGCTCCCGTGGCCGCCATCTGACGCACCTGGCTTTCCTTTCGCGGATGCGCGTCCAGCGAGTGTACAATGTTGAGCGATACAGGGTCCACGATGAAGATCTTGTTGCGGTGAGCGGCCCAAATGCGCTCGCCAGCCACACAGAGGCAACGTATCGAATGGTTGCGATCACCGAGCGTCACCAGGTGATAGCTATTCAGATCCCATTGGCCGTCTGTCTGGCGGCGGAACACAGCCAGTTGGGCATTGGCCAGCGCCACAACGACCCTCGCCTCTACGTGTACAATCGCCAGCACAGCATCCGGCAGGAGAACTCGGTGCAGGCACTCGTGCCACCTTCCCACGCTGCTGTGCACATACAGCCAGCCGTCCTGGGCGCCCAGCCACATTGTTGGACCTACAGAGCTCATGGCCGGTTCATCACGATCCTTGGTCTCCAGTATGGGGTTCAATGACTTGATGGCAAACAAAAGATTGCTGCTGGTGTTATTGTTGTTGTTAGTCTGGTTGCCATCTGTGGCTAGTCGCTGGGGAGCTCCTGGCAGGGGCTGACGTATTTTGATGGCCTCCACATTGCCAAGTGGCTCTTCGGCACTTACGGCCGGCAGCTGCTCATTGGATTTCTCTGTGGCCTCCTTGGCCTCCTCCTCCTCCTGCTGTTGCTTGGCATTGCTGTTCTGCTCATCGTCTGACTTCGGTTTCACACGCACAAACTCCACTTTGCCCAATAGCTCAGCACCCTCGCCCGGTCGCTGCAGCATCTCGCCCGCCTTGACCACTTCCGATTGCTCCAGCAACGCGTAGTCACTCTCCATTGCGCCTTGCACGGAGGCAATGCAAAGCAAATGCGATGCGCAGATGGGAAAGGCATCCAGCACAGTGGCCGATTGATTGGCATCAACCACACTGACCGTACTGGCAGCATGTGTGCTTGTGCATATCCACACGAACGAGCTGAGCTGCGTTTCGGGCTCCAGCGTCTCCAGGCTAACCCTCGCCATCTGCCTGTCCAAGGCCTCCATGCTCTGATCCGCTGTGGGACTGGTTATCTCAGCTATCTTGAGCGTAGATTTCGGAGCATATGGTGAGTTGGCAGGTATCAGCGATTGCCCATTCTTTGTGAAGCCGCCGTGTAGATTAACGCCTGCCGCACAAAATACCTTCATGTGGGGCGATGCCTCCGCGAGGGGATTACAATATACGGGAACTGGTACACCTCCCGAATGGCGGTTGGGATTCGCCTCCTGGCTGGCCTTGTTAATCGGCAGACTCCAACCGTAGGCATGCAGCCGCCCATCCTCCTTTTGGACATGGGCACGTAGCTGGCGGTACTGCTCCCTTCTCCTCGCACTGATCCTCTCCGAGCTGCCCTCCTCGGCATAGTCTTTCGGCATAATGAGTGCGTTGGCAAGACCAGCGCTGGCCGGATGCACGGGCGGCTGGCCGCTGGTTAGGGCCAG